GGTTCCAGAAAGCACTCCCTCCCTCCCTCCTCTCCTCCTCCTCTCTCTCCTCTCTGATGCTTTCACTGGAGAAGAGAGAGACTGTGTCTCTGCTCCTGCTGCTGCAAAAACGCGATGGCTCAAGAACGGCTCTCATTAAAACAGCAAACACAGTGGGAGGCGAAATCCATTCAAATATGATGAATTCCTTTAAAAACGGATGTATGTCAACGGACGTTTTTACAGAAATTGGATCTCTAAAAAGATTAAAAGGTCAATGAATCAAAATCTGTAGCTTTGTTTAATTTGTCTCCTAAAGATATTAACTTGAGCAACACATTTGCCACAGAATATTCATTTAGATGAGGCTGCAAATAAGAATTACTTTCACAATGGCTTAGTTTATTTTAACGATTATTAAACTAATCTATGTCAGAACGTCAGAATATTAAAAGTCAATATAATATCAAATTAATTCAATATTCAACCAAATTAATTCAATTAATTTCAAAAATTGAAATTACTTTTTACCAAAATATGCCAAAATTATTTTAAAAACTCCCCAAGCATTTTCATTTCTAAAGGGAAAAAAATAAACAAATCAACACATTTTAAACTGGAACATTCAAAATATTAAACATATTTGCTTAAAAAATCACCCAAAAGTGTGTTTTATATACCGTATATAATATACATATATAAATACAAAATAAGTTTTGAATCATAATTTGGTGTTGCTTCTTGTAACGTCTTAGAACCAGGATAACTCAAATATATTCAATTCATGCTTAAATTGTGCAGGCGTGTGAAGATTTGGAGGATGTTTCTCATTAATAAAATGCATCGTGTCACTACTTATTGTGATCAGGTCATATTTAATAGTTCAGCTGTTGAGCAATGTTAATACCTTCCTATAAATGTGTTCATCTGTTTTTGTAATCGTGATATGATTTGTGTTCACTACTGATTCCTGAAACTCTCCAGAGCATTGGGCTCATCACAAACTGATTTAGTCTCTGAGAGTGCTTTCAATGTTTTGCTCCCTCATGTTAGTCTGAGAAACAAAGTCACCTTAAAGCAGAGCATCTGATCATCTTTGAAGATTTTAAAACCAAGAATAAGGATCATCTGACGAGTGTGTGCTGATGCTTTACTGCTCAGTGCTGCTTATTGTATTATATTGTCTGATGTCATATTAGCTTGTTGTTGGGTCTGTTTATTCTGTCAGATGATTCTCTTATAAAATAGATGTTTAATCTCTAATGGGAATACTTCTCCTAAAAAAAAAAAAAACCTGTTACATTTAAAAGTTTAACATAAATAAAAAAGTCTCTATTTTTCATTATATGTGCATCTGACATGCACAAACCTTTACATTTCGTAGGTGAATGTGTGCTGTTCTGCTATCAGAGTGACTGAGCAAATACAAAGATCTGAAATATGATTCATATATGAGCTGGTATCAAGCTAGTTTGACCACATATCAAGTCATTAATAAAGTATGTATAAATTAACATTAATTGACTGATAACTTACTGTTCAATGTAATTTGAACATAAAGTCAGATACTCTTGATCAGCTGTAATGGGGAGAAACAGTCAACATGACACATCCCACGTAGGCATTAAAATGGGTGTGAGTCATGCATTAGTCAAGATTTACTTCAATATACTTTATGTACTCTTTGGAAAGTGTTTCCATGTTTGATAAAGAAGAGACGTTTTATACATGTCTTCTGAATAAATGCTTGCATAATTCCCTTTTTTTCTTCTAGAGGATAGTAGGCCTACTGGTGCATTTCTGTTATCAGCGTTTTACTACTATGACAGTGAAAGTAACCCTGCAGGGTCCATGGTATGACTTACCTCACAATTAACAGTCTGAGTGTATAGTGAATGCCGGTACATCCTTCAAAACCAATCTGAACTTGTTTTTATAAGCTGTTTTAATCCTGCTGTTCAGTCCACCTCCAGTCTGTTCTGACAAGTTTCCACCTACTGCCCAGCACAGTCTCTGCAAGCCATCAATTTTTCAACTCTAATGGCAACAATGGGGAGCGGGAAAGCTGTCATTCCTGTAATGACTGTGCTGTCATGAAGATAATGGCTACGCTATTATGTTTTATAGACAAGAAGTTCACATATTCTTGGTTTGAGCGAGAAGTGCTGCCGCTGAGGGAAGTTAAACTGGACTGAAAGTGTACCATTTGGAAGGTAACAATGAGCGGAATAAGGCGGTGTAAAACGGAGAACGATGAGTGAAGACATAGGCTGACGACCCTTGTTTTACTGTTTTCAGCCTGTTCAAAATAAGCTCTATATGTGTTTTTACCTTAAACACCAAGGGAAAAGTCTTCATATGAAAACATTTAGGCAAAAAATAATCATTTTGTATTCTTGATCCTTCAACAAAAAAAAAACCTGCTGGTGTCAGGTGACAGGCTGACACTAATCTGTCAGAAATCAAAACAAAATGCGCTGGACATCAGTCAAACATCAATAACATCAATAAGTCAGTCAGGAATGTTACCTTTCATTCACAGCCAGTCAAAGCGGGCTCTAATGATTTGGGACTGGCTTATCACTGGCAGCAACAAGAAGAGGCTTTGATCTGCTACAGGTTGCCAAGTAAGACACACTCAAGTAAGACGGTCATTATTGAAAGAAAGCCACAGGCGAAATGCAATATTAAGTAGCTCCGTACACATTATAGTGCTTAGTACACAGCGAAGATGTTAGTAAAGTGGCCAACAAGGGCGTGCTGCTGCAGACCAAAAGATTTTAGATGAGGGATGAACAGGATGCAGAGTCAGAAGAGATGCGGATTTAAAGACACACGTGAAAGTCCAAAACAAATACAGTGAGCAATAAAAATCTCTGCCTGCTCTCTCTCGCTCTCTCTTAAGCTGTTCCAATCATCACCCCTACAGTCCTGACACTTCCAATGTATCATGCAGTGTTTTTCAGTTGCATTTATCTTCTGGGTTTGTGTGTAATGTTTTGAAGTACTTGCAGTGCATTTGCTGTGAATGGCTTTTTGCAGATAGTTTTTTTCTTTTGCAGCATGTTTCAGCTGTTGCATTTGTTTTTCACTTTTGTATCTATTCGAATATACCACCTATTTTTTCTGACCAATGACCAATATTTTATGTTTTTCTCTTCAATCCTGCAGTCGTAGAAACATTGCAAATACACTCTGAAAGAACTGGACAGCAACATAAACAAATACAACAGGCCTGCTGACAGGCAATAAATAGTATTGGACGCATAAATAAACCACAACCTCTGTGCTCTAATCTGGGTTTTGCATGATTAACTTCAAATCAACAAATAAAAAAAATAGCACGCTGCAAAGCCACACAAAGACCCTCATACTACTATAAATACCTCTCACTAACAGTACAATGAGCCAGCTTTATCTACAAACGAAGCTGCACTATTCAATAAGCATGTTAATGACTGGAGGAGGCTGTATGCATTGTTTGGCATGAGCTGGTCATCCAATTTTTAAATCCCAATGGCCGGCTTATTCATTGATGTATAATGAAGCCATGCAAATCAACTCTGCAGCATCAGCATCACACCAACAGACCTACTGGAGGCAAAAAAAAAGGTACAAGTCACAAGACTGAGCAATGTAATCAGCGTGCCCATTCACTAGGCTGCCATCATTACTGGCAGACACAGGCCTCACTGCCAGCCAGTCACAGGGAAGTCCGTCCAAGAATACCTCTCTTTCCCGCTTTCACAAGATGAGATCCTTTGGAGATGCCATCTGTTTGTCTCTCGCCCGTGTGTGCCATGCGCTCAGGTTAGATCAAGTTATTGCAGCAGGCACGTCCCCCAGCCTCTGCAGCTCGCTTTTTCATGTGTGTCCTCATCACCATGTTTTGTTTCAGTGCCCCTCTGTGGGCTTAAGCCAGTGATTCCTCGAACCTTCATCCCTGATTTTTAGCACAGGGGACTATTTAATGAGCTGTAGTGGGAATATAGTGTATAGTGTGTCTAGCCTGTGAAAAATCCCTTGATATCCAGACAGTCAGTTTGAAATAGTTTGAAATAGCTGCTGTTAAGAAGAAGCTTTTCTTCAACTGATGATACATAACAAGATGCTGCAAAAAAAAGCATTAAAATTTGACTCATTTTGCTTTCTGGAAGCATTTTTTTTCACTCCATCCACATCAGTGAGTGCACTTACACGTCCCCGAATGATCCTCTGAAGCACAATATTTATGCATATTTCACATGTTTTAGGTTTATTTCATGTTGTTTTGATTTCAGCTAGATTGCATCCAACTGTTTCGCCGACTTAATGACAATTTAATGGGCATGCATGGTGGGAGGCAGTGCTGCAGGAGTGATATATGCAGTAAATCGGTCCAAGAGTCAGATAAGTCAATGGGAATCTGGCAGTGGAGGTGGGGGAGGTGGGATTTCAGGTTTAGACTCGCCTAACCAACTTTGACACCCCGAGAATAACAGAAAGGGGGTTTTGACGCCGATTCTTGATAGTTTAAATGCATTTTTCTTCACATCATTTTTAAAAATGCAGACTATGACTCGTTCTTATGCACTACTCATAGTTTAGACGACTAAACTTACATGATGTTGCTCAAATATGCTGGGTTTTAAAAAGAAAATCTAAATCTGCCTCTGTCTCTGCTGTAATCCATGTGGCTTTGATGCTGTTTTGTCTTTGTTTGCATTTAAATCCAGACTGGGCCTCGGAACCAGAATTAACTGCTTCTAAACGCGACTGAAACCCTCATTCTTTATGAATGGTGTGGCATTTTGCAAAGAGGCATTGCATTGTTTCCCAGACAGACCTCGATTTTTTTTTTTTTGCCTGCACTGAACCACGCACAATATGTGCCAAACAGACTACTTGTTGGGCTATAACACGCCAGGAAAAAAAAAACACTAAACGAGTATTCTTTTTTTGTCTTTTTTTGTCTTTTTGAGATGACTCAGATGATGAAGAACATCTTGTCAGTCCGCGCGCATCAATCAGAGCTCACCTACCGGATGCTGCTTCCTCCACGCTTTCTTTCTTTTTTTTTTCTCTCGGCTGTGTGTGATGCACAGTCCGGCAGATTTGGCCGCCCTTTTTTTCCGCCCGCACGGGTCCTCCGGTGTCCTCCACGCGCAGGTGTGACCACAGTCTTGCCTTGTTGTATTCCCATATGTTGTCGCCAGCGCGATTATGAACGCCCCGGTTGATGTGTGACTGGATAGCCTGTGTGATCATGTGCTGCCAGCTCCTTTCTCTCTCCCTCTCTGTCTCCTCTCTGTAACTGCTCCCTCCGCCCGATTATCTCCCCGCTGCGGCACTGGCTACATGCTAATACGAAGAAATAAAACGTGCCTGACGCGCTGGCCAACTTGTGCGCCTTGTTATAATGGCAATTAGTCGCCGGACCGGTCCGTGCTTGCTCATCCGTGCACCTTTTTGCGAAATCCGCTGCCTCTCTGCTAGATCCGCGATTTGTGCTGAATAAATTGCCCCTGAGACGCTTTGGTTTATTTTCTGAGAGGGGGTAAAAAAAAAAAAAAAAAGAAAAAAGACTGAAAGAGAGCGAGAGAGAGGGTGAAAAAAAAAATGTGTCCAATCTGCCGGATGAGTCTGGAGAGAAGAGGAGGAGAGAAGGAGTGAGGCGTAAAGGATGAAGAGGATTATAGGAGGAGGAGGAGGAGGCTGGAGCACATTTGTGAAGGCTTTTCCTCTATATGTCATTTGAATAACAGAGACACAGTGCATATTTCACAAATGTTACCCTCTCATCATCGCTCTACCTCCTCTCTGTCCCTCTTAAACTCAACTGGTCCCCTGTTTCTAAGGGATCTATCTGTCTATCTACATGAAGTGTTTCTGTGCATATGCATTTTGAACACTTTCCGACTTGCCCTCACTCTCTCTCCCTATTTGTCACACTGATGGATGTTTTTTTGGGGTTGTTTTGTTTTTTTTCCTTCTTCTTTTTTTTAATTAGAGCTCCTCTCTGATCTGTGCAGCATGTCAGTCAGCTTATGGTTCTGTCCAATCATGGCACCGATAGTCCAAGCCTTGACAACAGAGTGTGTTCTCAAAGTGGTCCTCAAATCGGTCGGACATCTGTTCCCCGTCCCTGGAGTGATGTGGACTCGCTGAGGGAGGATCCGAGCCGAGGGAGGACTGAGACTCCAACCAGCTGCCTACATTTCAGCTGTGCATCAGAAAACCAACACGTCGAGCCTGAGATCTTCCCATGAGTCAGCTCGGTGTGATTAGGTGTGGCACCGCTTCAGCCTCACTCTTCATGTACTTAATGTGCTGTTTCCTGCATTCCCCTCAGTCATGTTCTAAGAATAAAATTGGGTTGTGATCCGTATTTAAGATGAGACATTTTGACAGAAAAAGGCATAACTGTAAGCAGAGATCAGTGGCTCTAATTACAATGCAGAGCATCAACGTATGACATTAATGATTCAGTGGGACCTTGAAAAATGAAAAATGCAGTTTCTCATTTCTGTCTTTGCCATCTTGCACTCCTGAGCTTCATTGCGTTTGATGTCGTTTTGTGTGCATCAAATGGATGTCAGAGAAACAATTACTGTGACATCTAAAGGTGTAGCAGAAAATAATGAATCTGATTCCTTTGCAAGAAGGAAGCAGATCTCAAGCTCAATATGAAACATACAAGTGTGACTCTTCTCAGTGGCAGACAAACTTGACAGAAAGGAGAAAATGAGGCCTGTAAACTGAATTAAACCTGTCGAAACCTGATAGTTATCTGATATAAACATGAATGTGCATGTTCACACAGCAGGCCCACTGCACACTAACTGACTGGCAGGAAAGTTCCCTCTAATTCACCATCTTTATAAAGCTGTTGATTTGCTACACAAAGCATACTGGGACACCGGGAGACATGGTTCAAGCTGGCAGTTCAAAGAGATTTTATGAAATATCAAAAACTTCAAAAGTTGATCACATCAAGACGCTCTGCTTTGGCTCAGTTGGTAAAATTAACTCCCGTATGATCAGATAGAGTTTATCCTGCACTGGTTCAACACCCAGTCCTGATACTGTTTGGTGCAGTTTATCTATCACACTCTTCGTTTACTGTCTATCTACAGCTATTCTGTCCAAATAAAGGCAAAACCCCCAAAAAAGTTATCTTTAAAAAGTTGCTCTCATTAAGACAGCTGATCATGCTGTAGCTCCAGCTCCTTCCTGACCAGCTGTGAGTGCAGCCAAGAAATCACACAGCAATAATGATAACTGTACCGTAGTTGATAATTCAGCGATATAATTAAAAAAAATCAGGAAATGTCTAGTGATAAAAGACATGAATTATTAAAGAAATATGAAGCTCTATGATCAGATTCATCTTATGAATGCAGAATCTGACACAGTGTTTTGTGTCAAACATGGACATGTAGATATGTGTAGTATCGTGCAGGATCACCCACCGTTTTACAACTCCAAGTAGGTAAACTGTCCATTTCAAGAGCTGTAATGTAATCCAGGCTATCGTCTAACAACGATAAAGCTTTAGTTAACAGATATCTCTTTGCAAGTGCAGCTTACAATCTGCTCAAAGGTGTAGTGTTGAAACTCCACTTCCATTCTTGCTTCTGAGATTACTGGTTTATGGCTAACCACTGGTCGCACCAAAGAAGTGCCAAATGATTGGCTGTTGCCCCCACAGGGAATATATCATTGCAGGACGATACCCAAGGGTTTGGAGGTTGTATTGGTTTTAACTACAAAGCTTCTGGACAGCTGTGCAAAGCAGAAGTAGCTGCATTTTATCCAAATGTATACTTCTTTCTAACTAGGATTGATTTATGTCTTATCATTTATATTGCTGACAGAAGCTTTGTATTGTTGATATGTTGTAAATTAATCCCCCTTGTGGGGAGCTGGTAGGACTCCTCCACCCACGCGTCAAGCAATCAGCAGGGCAAGGCTGTGATGAGTTGAACTGATCTCATGCAGTGTGCCTCCATCGTAGAAATCCTAACCGGAAATATATACACTGCGGCGATGCAAATCCACAGCCTTTACATAAAGCTGCCAAAATATTAAAAAGACGCTGTGACAGATTATTTTTGTATACTATACTTGATGGTAAATAAGTTGTCTGTTACTTTGCTTGTGAAAGGTGCATGCCTCTGGCAAACTGTGTGATACAACAGTGCTGAGCTGAATGTGCACCCTCCTCAGACATGACCTATCACTTCCCATCAGAGCAGCTTTCTGTTACTGTGTGCACGCAAGTCAAATAACTAAAACGATGACAAGGCTTTTTAAAAGCTGTTTTTTTTAAGCAGGCTCTCTCTTGTTGATTTAAATTATCCTCAAAACTTTATTAACAACAACTTTCTTAACAAGGTTACAAAGTGCTCCACCAAATTACAGAAAAACATGTAGACATCAGAAATGAAAGACTGAAGATGCTTGCCTATAAGCTGAATGTGCACAGGCCGTAAACATGTGCAGCTAGAGTTATCACACACTATCAGAGCAGCTCTCTGTCATTATGTGCATGCATTCATCGTTCTGTCCAATCACTGCACAAGTCATGATAGGAGGTCTAGACATTGCAGCTGCTCTGATAGCTGACTTTAGATTTTTTACAGCAGCTATACAGACCCAGAGTAATGTGAGCTGAGCTTTATGGACTCTGTGTTTCATTTATACGACTGCTTGGCTGCCTTTTGAAACACTTAGAGGACTGTAAGGCCGGCTGTGTTGTTCTGGTTAATGTCAACAACCCCGCCCATGGACACAAATGTCAGCAGCTCAGGTGGGTGTACAGAAGCGTTCATGTTTTCAAATGTGTTGATCAAATTGACCTGGTTTTCATCATACAGGCTAAGCGAGGACCGAGCTGTCCTTGAAGGCCTCATGGTTCCTGTTTCTTGCAGCTGTAATGAATTGGCTCTCATTCCATCAGATTTCTAACTTTTATACTGTAGTATGTGATTTCACCTCCACATGGCCATATTAGGATTCCACTGAATGATATCTGAGGAGTTTTGTGACGTTCAACACTTTTCTCTCCAGATGAAAATAGGTCAAATATTTAAATATGGAAAGAGACGACAGGTAGCTCCAGAAAACCCCTCTATAGTTTGCATTTGGTAAAAGCCTTTGGAAGTTTTCTACATGTGATTTCACAGTAGAGTCTATACTTTGAGCATCCAAGAAAAAGATTCATACATTTTAGAAAGCGTTCAAAAACAGTTAATATTACCATTTCTCAAGACTGTGTGGCCGTAGCTTATCAAGTTTTGATTGACCCTTGCCTTGCTCTGCACACAACAATTGAATTAAAAAAGCAGTACACTGCATCCCTGAACTGTATGTTTCAGTTGTCTGGTGGTTAACGACAAAGGATGCCTGCCAAAATAAAAATTATTCTAACAAATGATCACTGAATTGATAACAAAATGCTTTGTTATTCTTATCATATGGTGCATCACACTTGCACAAAACTCCTGAGAACTCCCTGAGATTTTTGGGGTGAGCTGCGTTAACCAAACGTTTTCACTTCAACTTTACTTGGAATTTTTCCTGGTAGCTCCCAAGTAAATTTCCCACATGAAGTCTAAATAAGCTTATGTTCAAAGGATAGCAGGATATAATTGGGAAAAATCCCGGAGGGGGTGGTGATGTTTATATCATGAGACAACCATTCATGGGATCAGTGTGAACTCCATGCTTGTCATAAAACTGCTTCACTCTGTTCCCCAGCACTTTTCTGCTTTGTTGTTGATATGGGGAATATGTCAAACTACATTGATATGAAGGCAAAAATTCTCATTATAGCATCGGACTCTGTTGCTTCCCCCGCTACTTCTGAGTCATTCTTTATATGTCATGTCTCGCCTCCTGAGTACAGTCCCTCCCATCTCCTGCTGTGATGTGCATGTGTAAAAGAGCTACTCAGGAAGATTGCAGGTGCACTCTGACTGAAATCCCCAAGTTTTCAAGAGTGCATATGTTGAACCAGTTCCTTTGTTCTCATCATTTTGTTAACTATTTCCCACGTTTAGATATGGTTCCATGTATTTTTTTTAACTGAACAATTTCTCTTTTACTATCCTATTTTCCTAACCATCATGTGTAGCTTTCCAACAGTCCTTTGTTTCTTTTCCAACCTTTGTGATTATGTTCCCCACCACTTTTTTTCTCTGTGTATACCCCTTAGTTTTTGGCTGTGTCCAAAATCACACACTACTCACTTTATGGAACCTTATAGGCCATCACCATTTTGTTGTGTTGTCCATATCTTGAGCGAGTATTGTTATACTCTATATAGTGAACTAACTGTATCCCACAATGCATTGTGCAAAACAGTGTACAACCGATGGTCACTAACAAAGTATTACATCATGCATTGAGGTGCAAATCTCAAAGAGAAAACGAAAAAATATGATGTGATTTTTACCAAAATCTAGAACCTGAACAGAGTAATGGTAGTTTTTCCTGCTGTGACACTAAGGTAGGCACGCAGTGGATACAAATACAGAC